AAAAAAAAAAAAACTGAACAGTTGTCTTATTTGCTATAACTATTTTGAGTCTAAAACCAAGATTCACCATCCATTAAAAGTGCCTTAGCACATATTACATTAAGATAAAATGCCCTGTTTGTTATACATAAAAACATAAAATTTGTTATTGACTGTTGGAAATTATTTGTGTAGGGTTTTAAGCAATAATTTTTAAAAATATGTTTTAAACTGCCAGGGTGAAGTAAGAATGGCAATCGTTTATGTCAGAAGGAAAGAAAAAGGCCTAAAACTAGTTTTCTAAGCAACACATTTAGTGTTTCTCACAGAGTTACCATTCTAATTTGAAACATAATGGTTTAACAAGTTTTAGTTACTGATGGAGATCATAAACCTCGATTTTTCTTTCCTATGAAGGTTTCCAAATACTCTTCTTATTCCATTTCTCCAGGGTGAAACTGTAACTGTGGAAACATACTCTTAAGTAGCCTACTGACAGAACCTCTCACAGCTCAGAGTGGAATTTCTCAGAACAGATATGAGAATAAGAGTCTTGGAAGTAATTTATTTGAAAATATGAAAGTAGCCCAGAACATGAGATCATTCTTGGCAGCCTAAATAAAGACACAGAATTGGCTATTATGCTTACAATGTGCAAAGTCATGGACTGCCTTCCAAGGGCTCAGCTGAAGGTCACAGAAAGAAATCAGACACAGAGTAGTTTAAGAGAAAAAATCCCCCACCTCTGGCCTTCACTGAAATCCACAGGAAAGTGAACAGTAGGTTATACTGAAGAATAGTAATTTCATTGCCAGTTACTAGTTCTGGGGAACAGTGAGTTGGAAAGGATCAACCACATTGAGAAGAGGTTATCTGTGGACTTCAAGTGTCTGCTTCACTCTTGTTCCACTTTACCTGGAATCATTAAGTGACAGGAATAGTTTATGAAAGTATCTAAAAGAATGAATAAAGAGAATTGGCAGAGTTAAATATATATATATATATATATATATATATTATATTATATTATATTTTAAAATATTCCACAGTTGCTAAATTTGAAAAAAAATTGAAGATAAAATAGAAGACTGATGCTAGAAAAGAACATACATCTTTTCAAAAAGCTAAAATGAAGTTCTTTGTGTTACAAATTAGTATAGCATCAAAAGAAGTCTGCAGCCACTCCATGTAAGCTTTATGCCCCAATGTTTCAGTGTTGTTGTTGTTGTTATGTCCTGTCGAGTAGTTCCCTACTCATAGCCACCTTATGTACAATAGAATGAAACACTCCCAGTCCTGTGCCAGCCTCACGGTTCCTACTATACCTGAACCCATCACTGCAGCCACTGTGTCAATCCATCTTGTTGAGGGCCTTCCCCTCTTCCATTGACCCTCCACTTTACCAAGCATGGCTTCCTTCTCTGGAGAATGGTCTCTTCTGACAACATGACCAAAGTAGGTGAGACGAAATTTGGCCATTCTCATTTCCAAGGAGCATTCCAGCTGCACTTCCTCCAGGACAGATTTGTTAGTTCTTTTAGCAGTCCATGTTGCTTTCAGCATTCTTCTCCAACACCACAACTCAAAAGCATCAACTCTTCTTCGGTCTTCCTTATTCATTGTCCAGCTCTCACATGCATATGAAAACCAAAATAAACCAAACTCACTGCCTCTGAGTCTATTGTGACTCATAGTGACCCCTCCTTGGGTTTCTGAGGTAGTATCTCTACACAGTAGATTGCCCAGTCTTCTTTCCAAGGAGTGGCTGGTGGGTTTGAACCACCAGCCTTCTGGTTCGCAGTCAAATGCCTTAGGCATATGAGGCGATTGAAAATACCATGGCTTGGGTCAAGTGCATCTTAGTCTTCAAGGAGGTATCTTTGCTCTTCAACACTTGAAAGAGGTCTTTTGCAACAGATTTGCCCAGTGAAGTATGTCTTTTGATGTCTTGACTGCTGCTTCCATTGGCATCGATTGTAGAACCAAGTAATATGAAGTCTGACAACTTCAATCTTTTCTCCATCTATTGTGATGCTGTTTATTGGTCCAGTTGTGAGGATTTCTGTTTTTTTTTTTATATGGAGGTGTAATCCATACTGCAGACTGTAGTCTTTAATCTTCATCAGTAAGTGCTCCAAGTCACCATCACTTTCAGCAAGCAAAGTTGTTTTGTCTGCGTATCTCAGGTTGTTAATGAGCTTTCCCCCAATCCTGATGCCTATTTCAGTGTAAGTATACATTTTTAGAATTATTTTAGAACTCTTATAACAAAGTATTAAAATGTGACACCTTAAACTATGAACATAAATGTGAATGAATTACAATTCTATAGTGATGGTAAAAACAATGTGTTCTTAAACTGAAGAGTTTCCTGATAACATCTAACATTATTTATACTACCTAACCAAACCTTAGGAGCTCTGGTAGTGTAGTCCCTAAGGCACTTGACTGATAACCAGAAGGCTGGCAGTTCATACCCACCAGCCATTCCTCAGAAGGAAGGTTGGGCAATCTACTTCCATAGTGATATTGCCTCAGAAACCCAAGGAAGGGTTGCTATGAGTTGGGTCTGACTTGATGGCAAATAACAACAACAGCAACAACAACCAAACCCTATGCAAGTAACTTACAGGGAAAACGTAGCTGGTTCTGTGCTTTCATATAAAAAGCCCATGTAGATTGCATAGAAGATCTCTGATATAACTAGTTCTAAAGTATTTAAATTGCTGAACCTCAAATTATTACTTTCTAATATTTTTTTTAGTAGCTCTGGTAGCATAGTGCCTAAGGCACTTGACTGCTAACCAGAAGGCTGGTGGTTCAAACCCACCAGCCACTCCTTGGAAGAAAGGTTGGGCAATTTACTTCCGTAGTGATACTGCCTTGAGAACCCGAGGAGGGGTCGCTATGAGTCGGGTCCAACTTGACGGCACATAACAACAACAACAATATGTTTTTGGTATCATATTTGGAAAGAATATGTGTCTTAGCCAAATGTCACTCTGAGTAATTAACAATCAATAAATATTTACTGAGCAGCTACTATGCATTAGGCATCATGTGAGGTGCTGGGCCACCATAGTCTTAGTTGCTAACACAAATTTATGGAATAATATTAGGTTGCAAAAAATTGACTCCACTTGATCACTATATTGGTGATTGATAATTTCCTATAGCTATCGTAAGTTTCTCGTAACCGTCACCCACAGACAGAATGCAAAACATTAAAGGAAATATATAATTTAAATATTCTTTCTAAAAGTGGGAACTATGTTTCTGATTTTCCCAGAGTTGTATTGGTTTCACTTTATAAAGGTCTGAGGATTGAGTGATAAACTCTTCACCCCTGAGTCTGTTGCTTTGTTTTCAGCCCAGTAGCTGTGTGTTTCAGTATTCATTACTTTTAAAAATTATTTTTTGGGGAGGTAGCTCAAGTTAATAAAGTATATATCATATACCATATTATAACATATTGTATTATATTGTACCACATTATATGAACATAAAATTAGAATTAAGAACCTAACCCTAACTCACTGCCGTGGTGTCGGACCCAACCCACAGCAACCCCTCCTTGGGTTTCCGAGACGATATCACTACAGCAGTAGATTACCCAACCTTCCTTCTGGGCAGTGGCTTGTGGGTTTGAACTGCTATCCTTCTGGTTAGCAGTCATATGCTTTAGGCACTGTGCCACCAGAGCTCCTAGATTTGAGTTGTTGTTGTTGTTGTTGTTGTTATGTGCCGTCGAGTCATAGATTTGAGTAGGTGCATGTTTATAACTGAACTTTTCTGCTCTTATATTTTTTAAATGCTCTGAAGTTTTTTGGTATCAAATTGTTATATTAAAAGGAGAAGATATTATCAGGTTTATCTCAAAATCTTAAAATATGTTTAAACAATTCTACCTTATTTAATAAAATGTTAACCTTGAGGTATGTAACTGAACAATAAGAATACAGAGGTAAGTGGAATCTGCTTTTAAAAATTAGAGAAATAATTCTCCCTAAACTTTAATACCACTGATTTCAGTATGAATAAGACAAAAACTTTAATTTATTCTAGGGAATAAAACATGTATTTTATAAATATCCAAAGAATCTTTAGTATATGCAAATTTTTTAATTTGTTTTTATTTTGTTTGCAAAATTATTTTCAAAAATATCTCAAATTTTAGCTAAATATTTGTTTGTTTTTAGGAACTCTCAGAAAATGAAGTGGTTGGATCTTATTTCTCTCTGAAGTCTTTCTTTTGGAGGGTAATGTCTAAATCCTTTATATTAATAATCTTACTTTTTGGTTCTAGATGGTAATTTTGAAAGGTGAATGATTCTTTATTTCTTCATTTGTAAAAATTAAGAACTTCATATAGTTAGCACATTGCTCTGAAGTGAGTTCTTTGTGGAATCAACTTTATCCCAAATTCTGGGATAAATATAAGCTAGACACCCAGCTAGGCATAGTCTTCCAGGAATCTTATGGCCTGGGTCCAGTGAGGTTCTTTCTCGCCCATCTCTTGCAAGGTGGGCCTTTTTCCTTCTCTATTTGTTTGAGAAAATGTTACTTCTATTATAGTGATCTCAGACTATATACACACTAGATTATCAATACTCCTGCTTTGAAAAAAAAAAAAAATCTCCTGGATTATAAAACAGCAGTTCTCTTTTGATTTAAATAATGAAAAATTATACACAAAATTGGTTTTACATGCCATTGAATTTAGTGTTATTTACTCTTTCATGGTTAAACATAGTGAGTTCTGCCATCCATTTTTCTCTGCTGTTATTCTGCATTATACACAGCTCAATTTATTACTAATTCGCTTGCTACTCAAAACTTCCCCTCTTTCTTTGAAATTTCACACATGATACATGATTATCTAGCAATAGATATGCTGCATTCTTAGGACTTTGCTATTTTCTTTTCTTGACTCAAACTCTCATCACTGAAAACTACTCTTTTTCTTTAGAATTTTAAGCTTTGTTAGTGTGTCTGAAGCAGACTGATAGGTACCATAGCTCCTCTTATCCACATCTACTCATTATCTACTGTTACGCCACATCTACTCATTATCCCTCCAGCCTTTTCCTGTTACGAGCTTACTTTAAAGGAGCCCTGGTAGCACTAAAAGGAGTGCTAGTGATACAGTAGTTAAAACATTTGGCTACTACCCAAGCGGTTGGTGGTTTAAACCCAACAGCAACTCTGCCGGAGAAAGATGAGGCAGTCTGCTTCCATAAAGATTTACAATCTTGGAAACGCTATGGGAGACATTCCTCTGTCCTATAGGGTCTCTGTAAGTTGGAATCAACTCAGTGGCAGTGGGTTTTTGGTGGCACAACGGTTAAGTACTTGGCTAATGAGTGAAAGGTTGATGGTTTGAATCCCCCAGTGGCTCCATGGGACAATGACCTGGTGATCTGCTTCCATAAAGATTACAGCCTAGAAAACTCTACAGGGCATTTCTACTTTGTCATATGGCATCACTCTGAGTAATAAATCCAATTTATAGCACCCAACAGCAAAAACATAGGCCTCTTCATTTCCTTTCAGTCTGTTATATAGCTGCCTTGGCTGAAGTTGTTCTTTATCTTTGCTGAAATAATATTTCTTCCTATATGTGTACGTGTAGGCCAAGAATATGCAGAATGACTACTTTGAATTGTTCCATAGCCTTAAATGGAAAAGTCTTTTCTCTATTTTCCTATGACTTACAAATACGGTGAATTAGTATTGTTCACTCTTTTGCCCAGAGCATAGAAACCAGGTATTGAGTTTGTTGTGTGTGCAGTGAACATGTAGACTTAACTGTAAAGGAAGACTTACCACCAGACTAACTCCATAATTAATGCTTTCTCAAGAGTCTCCCTTTTATGGCTTATCTTTCAACATTCTTCTTTCATTTTGCTACTACCAAATTAGTCTTCCATTTAGCAGTATTTTTCATGGGACTGTATTCATTCTTGAAAATTCTTTATTAACCTTTCTCAGTCTCTTGAGCTATCTGATTTTTACTAATAAATATGCAATTTTAAAAGGTAATTTATTGATATCCAAGGTAAAATGACCATATGATAAGTGACAAATAAATTGGATGACAGAGATAGAACTCTTAGGGGTCATTTATTTTACCAATAGGAAACTAAGGCCCTGAGAAGTGATGTTATTGCCCTAGAGTAGTACCCAGGTGGTATGATCAGAAACAGTGTTTATTCTCTTTCTGAATGTCATAGAAATAAATATTTTGGTAAACACTTAAAGCCGTGGGGTTTCTCTTCAGATTGATGATAAATAGAGATGCTGTTTGTAAACAGAACTGCTCCCCTTGATTTGTGTTGACTGACACCCTTTTAAATTCCTCTTGACTCCTTACAACACACATGAATGTATGTGTTTGAGGGCCATGAGGTTGCTGTATTTGATGTTCCATTTTACAAAATCAGAAAGTCAGTGACCACACCTACTTTAAAAAGTGTGATCTTTCATATTCACATTCAAAGGTCACTATGGTATCTGACTTCATTGCTCTTTACCTAGAATACCTGGTATTCTGATGAATGTTCAGAGATGTATATGAAATTTTCAGACATGCAAAAAACCTAAATAACTCAGATAAAATATTATATTTTGTGGACTAAACAACAAAAAAAGTTTCAGCTTAATTTATAAGAATCAATACCTGTATCCAGGAGATAGCCACAGAGAGTGAAAATGAATCCTGGTAGGAACATACTTAACCAGAATGAAAATGCTACTTGCTGTATCTTAATTTTCTTGAGAGCAAAATAATTAAAAGAAAATATTTCCTTCAAAATAATTAAAAGAAAATAATAAAGTGATACAGGGATAGTCTTGTTCCCCAAAGCATAACATTTAGAATATGTCAAAACACCATGGTTTAGGATATAAAACATGAAACAATGCACATGGCAGTTGCCATGTTTAACATGAGCAATAAAAAAAGAAAATGTGAAACAAAACTGAATTACTCTAATTAAATTAAAATGTTATTAAGTATTTTAACTTCCCACTGAAGGGTGATAACTTTATGCAGCTCTTTCAAACATTTAGCATATTTAACTTTCTTCCCTATTGTCTCTATTAATGGACATCTAGATTCTGAACTCACTGCCATCAAGTCGGATCTGACTCATAGTGACCCCTCCTTGGGTTTCTGAGGTGATACCACTACGGAAGTAGATTGCCCAACCTTCCTTCTGAGGAGTGGCTGGTGGGTTTGAACCACCAGCCTTCTGCTTAGCAGTCAAATGCCTTAGGCACTAGATTCTGAAGACTAAGACTTTATGAAATAAGCCATCTTACAAGAACAGTTTAGTGAACTAAAGAGAAATTGTAGTATTTTTTGAAGTGGAGGAGGCTGGGCTATGACAAGATACCTCATATTAAAAAAAAAAAAATGGAAAAAGAATCATAGCACAAAAGGGCAGAGAGTGCAGAGAATAATACAGAATAACTCAGAGTTATGTCAGAGCACCCCTTATTGTGGGGTCAAACAAAAGCATGGTTGAAGGAAAACTATAGAAAAAGAAGAGTTATTAGCTCTGTAAAATGTGCTTATGATCCTGTGCTGAAGCTACATTCTGAAAAGCTCAACTGTATATAACATACACCTATTGAAAAGTTCAAATTATATTCATGTGGTAGATATGAAAGACATTTAGGAAAAAAAAAAGTAACTTTTAATTAAAAAATGGCAAAAAGAGGACTCTACAACTCAAACCCAGGCCTTGTTATTTCCTTACCATAAGATTACAACATATATACAATTATTTTCTATTAGTATATATTTTGAGCAAAGATAGTAAAAGCTTAAGAATTGTTGTTTGGCCAAGGTTGGAAAGTGGTTCAAAATCTAAAGTAAACATAAATACTTTCCTGGCACCATAAATTGCATCAAGAAGCAACAGATATAGGAAAGCAAGTTTAAGGATAAAAATCAGGGGGATTTCTCTAAGGATTATAGCACCAGTGAATCATCTTCTAAGAAAAAGGGATCGAATCTTTACTATTAGATGAGACACTTCAAACTAGGCTGGACAAAGCACTGGGAGGGTTTTCTGTGAAGGCAATCCTGCTTTGAGAGGATGATAGACTAGAGAACAAATCTACTTGTTGGACTTCATCATCCTGTGCAATTCACTGGAATAAACTCAGTAGGAAAAGGAAAAGATAGAGCCTATCTATGCCTCGGATTGAGCTCATAATTGCTCCACACTCCAGGCTTTACAGCACAAAACAGTCCTTCTAGGCTGTCATTATCTCTTCTTTGTAGTATCTCGGGGATCATTTGATTAAATAAAGGCTCACGCACTGTGGGCTAAAAATAGAGGAAAGGGCTGACTCCACACATGGCTTATTGTAAACACATAGCAATGTCTTTCACTCCAGTTTCATAGTGCCCAAGTCTCATTTGGAAGGATTAGGTTGCACACAGGTAATAAAATTCCAGGTAACAAAAACCATGGATTATTTGTACATACCAGGGAAAGGATTGGTATGGCTGAATGGCCTTTTGCCCATGTTAAGGCTAAACAGATTTTGTATTTTGGTTTGTTTTTAATCACAATTTATATAGAATAATGGGACACAGTGATCCATTTTTTAAGGAATGTGATTAATAAACTTTATTAACTAGAATTGGAATATAGGGGTGTTCTCAACTTATATGTCAGATTCTTCCATTTCTCCCAGTTAATTAATAAGTATTAGACTATAATTTAATGTGGAGTACACTTAGCTCTCACATGCTTTATATGAACCTAATAGGATTGTGACCTAGAGTTATAACTGCCTTCCTTATACTTCCTCTAAGCCTTTGCTTAGCCTTTCCCAACAATCTATACCCATGGATGTATTTCATCTAAGCATAAGGCAAAACACTTCCAAAAATCCTGTGCCAATTAAGACCTTTATTTGTAACATGAACTTCTTAGGCTTTATCCAAAAGGAGAGATAGGTGGATTAAACATGGTGGAAAAGTCATATGAGCTATGCTAGATTCTGTTCTCAGCCTTGCAGACCTCTAGCCATTTGGATTTGAGTCAGGCTTTATCCTCTCTGTGCCTTAGTTTCTTTATGTTACAAATGAGATGCTTGTCATGAAAAATATATGTGTAAACACTCCAGTCCATAATAACTGCCTATTAAATGTGTATTGCTTTCTGTGTGATCAATCCTATCTTTCCGACTAGACTAAATCTACTCTTCCTTGTTGTTATTAGCACTTAATATTCTCATCTCATCATAATACTATTGTTCAAAAACATTCTCTGTCCTAGAAGTCTCCTAATACAAACTTTCAGCTCCACCATGGCAATTGTCCTCTAGTATTTCTTGTTCATCTATATCTTTCTTAACCCATCTTTCTGCTTTAGCCCTTAAGAGTAACAGGTTGTTTGGGTTGCTTGCTTGGCAAAGGAAACAAAGGGAATTTGTCATGGGGGCAATATTTCTCTGTTACTATAGATATAGCTCTTTAATGGTATATTAAAGATTTATATGCAGGATGTACGATCCCTGTTATTTCCTGTCCCTGTAACATTTATTCTTCTCAAGCCTCTTACATTTTTGATATTAGAAGGAGTCTCTGAAGAATTTTGAACCAGTAGACTTGGGAAAATGATTCTCCCTATGATTTCTCTTGCTGTGTTTCTTTTCTCTGCTACATCTGTTGACAAAAACCTGAAACAACTTACTCAGGATCCATTACCACATAACCCCTGGGCTTTATTTTCTTGATCACTGCAGCATCGGACTACTAAAGAAAGTAGTGGCTGGCAGCTATATAGTTCATTACATTTATCTCCATTGTACTACAAGACATTTTCTGATAGTAACTTGAGAAATAAATACTTTTTTTTTTCCAAAACAAGTATTTTGAAGAGTAAATCTAATGCTAATTGAAATACGGAATGTTAGTGGCACGAAGCTTTTCCACACAGCTCTGACCATGCATTTCCATCCAGACGTGCAGCAGGCCTGCTTTTCCTGTCCTGGGCTTCTGCAGAGCAGAGCTTCAAAGTTCTTATTGCCAAAATGTACAAGTAAGTTCAACCATTCAGTTTATTTATTTATTCTGAGCTTGCATGAGCTATGAATTCTGAGGACCAACTTAACTGTATTGAAAACCTATTTCCTATCCTAACCTATTTGATACATGCAAAGAGGAATTGAAATCTCAAATTCTCTTTCAAGGAATGGTATAACTAAACTAATATTCTCTGAGAGTGCTGGCTCACCACTTCTAAAATCTTACTAATGATATTGACTAATTAATTTTAATTGACTAAAATCTTACTAATGAAATTGCCCCAGACTTTGAAATTTTATACTTTTACCTGGTATTTGATCCTCCTTATTAAATCTGAATCAGGATGGATATTCCTTAAGAGAGTGGCTCTCAAACTTTTGTGTGGATAAGAATCACGTTGGACACTTCATAGAAATGTAGATACTGCTCTGCTCCATAGAATGGCATCACATCCAGGAGGGTCAGGCACCACACTTTCAAGAAATGACCCACTAACATACCCACCAGCCACTCCTCAGAAGGAAGATTGGGCCATCTACTTCTGTAGTGAACTGCCTTGGAAAACCAAGGAGGGCTCGCTGAGTCAGATCCGACTCGATGGCAATGAGTTTGGTTTGGTTCTGGTAAAACTGGAGAACTACTGCCTTAAGAGTTTGAAGATGATTTCCTCTTTGGCAGGCTTATTTCTTTTCTTTGAAATTGGGTTTATTTCCCTTTCTTTTTTTTTTTTTTTTTCTTTCTTTCTTCCTTCAGATTTCTATTTCAGCAAGAACCTAGTTCACTATGTTACCTTAGGTAAGAGCACCAACAGTAATAAGCTAATTTTATTAATAAATAAAATTGGATGTCTTAAACTTATTTAATACATCTTACCATTGAGTCAACCCCATTGGGTTTCCGAGGCTGTAAATCTTTACAGAAGTAGATCACTCCATCTGCCTTCTGTGGAGCAGCTGGTGGGTTTGAACTGCTGACCTTATGGTTAGCAGCCAAATGCTTTATCCACTATGCCACCAAAGCTCCTTGCCCCTTAGATGCTCAATAAGTAATTTTTGGTTGACTGACTATTCATGAAGGAGTTCTGGTGGCATAGTGCCTAAGGCATCTGACTGTTAAACAGAAGGCTGATGGTTCAAACCCACCCACTCCTTGGAAGGAAGATTGGGCAATCTACTTCCGTAGACATACCACCTTGGAACCCCAAGGAGGGGTCACTATGAGTTGGGATCGACTTGAAGACAGTGAGTTTGGTTTTGGACTATTCATACTTTAACCAAAAAAAAAAAAAAAACACCTCACTGCCATGGAGTTGGATCTGACTCATAGCAACCCTTCCTTGGGTTACTGAGGTGGTATCACTACAGAAGTAGATTGCCCAACATTCTTTCCTAGGAGTGGCTGGTGGGTTTGAACTGCCAGCTTTTTGGTTAGCCTCAGGCACTGCCACCAGAGCTCCCCATACTTTATTAGATGCCTTCTAATTTTTAGAAAAAAAATAATAAAGGAATGACATAATAAATTAAGTAACTGTTTCCTATTAATTTTAGTAGGCTCTTGCCTCTCACTTCAGAAGCTCTGATGGTGAGTAGTTAAAACATTTGGCTGCTAACCAAAAGGTCAGCAGTTAGAACCTATGACCCACTCTGTAGAAGAGAGATACACAGCCAGCCTTGGGAAGCCTATGGGGCAGTTCTACTCAGTCCTATAGTGTCGCAGTGCATTGGAATTGACTCATTGCTAGAAAGATGCAAGGAGATATTTACATTAAGCATTTGTCTTTTCTACTATTGCTAGTCAAAGTGTGTATTATGTACCTTTACCTTATCATTTTATTTAAAGTTTAGTTTCTGATTCCTCACATTTAGACTAAATATTTGTTTTATGATAATCCAATTATTTCATAAAATCCATAGCTGAACTATGGTACCTTTTAAGAAAAACATCATTTTTAACTGTAGTTATTGAAGAAGAAAACATAACTCTTTAATAATGATATCTGGTTAATAAGTCTTTAGCCCCCCTTTCTTTTCCACACCCCCTCCTTAAGAGCTCACCTTGAATAGCTCTGTTTTTGTGAAAGAATTAGCTCCCTCCTCTTCCTCTTCTAGTTTCCAGGTATCTTTGGAAAAGCATTTCTAACAACTAATGGCAGTAGGTAAAACCTCCATTAAGTTAATTTTATTTCTTTGAAAGCATGAAGGATCCCATGGAAAGCATTCTTTCTCTTCCCTGTCCTATAATTCAGTTCTTGTTCTCATGTGGAAAACTGGGAGGAGGAGTAAGCAAGTAATGGTTTCAGATATGATACCATTAAAAAACCTAATTTAGCATTTCTAATTGAAGACACTCTGTAATCTAGATTATGTTGTTGTTGTTGTTGTTATGTGCCGTCGAGTCAACCCCGATTATACCCAACCATTATTTGACTGGGAGCCCTGGTGGTGCAACAGTTAAGAGCTCACCTGCTGGCTAAAAGATCAGTGGTTCAAATCCACCAGCAGCTCTGTGAGAGAAAATATCTGGCGATGTGCTCCTGTAAAGATTACAGCCTAGGAAAGCCTATAGGACAGTTCTACTCTGTCCTATAAAGTCATTGTGAGTCAGAATCAACTGCACAGCACACAACAACAAAAACCTTATTTGACTGAATGAAGTCAGTGTGTGACTTCTGCTCCTAGAAAGTGCACAGAAAATGAATTAGGTATAATATTCAAAACACTTAACTACTATAAGTATAAATGTATGTGCCAATATAATGGGGGGAGGAGTGTTTTCTGTATAATGTGGAGAAGGCTAGATCTTTCATTTCATACAGCGTAGTGCCTAAGGCATTTGACTGCTAACAAGAAGACTGGCAGGTCAAATCCACCAACCACTCCTCGGAAGGAAGATTGGACAATCTACTTCCATAGAGATACTCCTCTGGAAACCCAAGGAGAGTTGGCTATGAGTCGGAACTGACTCGATAGCAGTGAGTTTGGGGTTTTTTCGTTTTTGGTTTTGTTTTGTTTTTTTTTTTCTTTTTTACTTAACTAGTTGGTAAAGACCATTGGCAACCTTTTACTTAAAACATGATTACCTTTAAAACTATGAGAGAGTCTGTGCCCTGAAGATCTTTATTGGGAGCAGCTCAGGATTAAAGATTAGAAATAGTGGATTCTAGCCTGGTAGCATAGGACGTAAGGCACTGGACTGCTAACCAGATAGCTGATTCAAACCCACCAGCCACTCCTTGGAAGGAACGTTGGGCAATCTACTTCCGCAGTGATACCACCTTGGAAACCCAAGGAGGGATTGCTATCAGTCGGGTCCAACTCGACAGCAGATAACAACAACAGTCACACACCCACATTTTATTACCCGACCCTTTCTGAGCCTCAAATTCCTCATCAGCAAAATGGGGCTAACAGGCCTTATTTTCCTGCCTCATAAAGTTTAGTCAAATCTGAATAATATACATTTATGTACTTTTGAATTCTAAAGCTCTATATAAATGGGAAGCTTTTAACACCTTGGTCTATACTAAGAAAATGATTTCTTCTTACTTGCCATAAATCGTTTCTTTCTTTCTTTCTCTGCCACTTATATTTCTTAACAAAAGTTTCAGACCTAAAGTTTAAAACCTGATCCCCTAGAATCTGCCGCTGCTCCCTGCCACCTTGGGGGCTATCCCCCACACTCCTTACCTGTTTTGCCCACCAGCCCTGTCTGCCACTGCTCCCTGCCACCTATTTCTTCTCAACAACAGAAATGGTCAAAAAATAAATGTATAAATTTCACAATAAATCTTTTGCTGCACATACAATAATAAGTACCATGTGATAATATGTATATGGAATTATTGTGTAATAATAACTAGGAAAAAAGTGGATAAAAAACATAATGTAGTCTTTATCTACTTGGTGCAATGAATTCCAAAGTATTGTTTAAATGTGAGAAAACTTCAGTTTAAAAATACAATGTGGAAACCTAATGTGTAAAACATAGAGGAACAGAGAGCTCCAGCTGAAATGAGGTCCTGGGGCCCTTGTGGAAGTTTAAAGTGCTTCATGAAGCCCTCATTGCACTTCAGAACATGATTGATCACTGCTCTTGAGCTTATAGAGGTGAGAGATACAAAGTCCTGAGTTGATATAAATAAGGCAGTGCCACCAAGCAATGCTGAAAATTTGCTGTTCATCAAGGCAGGGAAATACGCAATGTGAACTAGAAAGATTTCCATTAAATTTTCAAAATCTTACAAGTACACCCAGTCCTCATTTATCAACATGGTTAGGTTCCAAAGACCAGGTAATTATGAAAAAAAAATCAGCATTATGTGAAAGTGAAGGATGACCACATCATATCACAAAATGGGGGATGATCACATCATTACATACTTGCCAAATCACTGAGAATTATGGCCTAGCCAAGTAGACACATAACTTTACATCACAACCAGAATTATTCTTGCCTTGCACCTTGGTGTTCATTACTGCCAGATGTATGTTGTTAATGTGCAAAATAGGAAGATGGTCGGTTTTTTACTATTGTCGTAAATGTGACATGTCAGATAATGAGATAGGTGTATTGTGTTTTGAAGAATGTTGTTTTAGTTTACATAATCAAAGCACTTTGAAATGCATCACTTTTAATGACACCAGACAAAAATGGCAATGGCATTACTATGGTATTAAAGAAAGGTAGGACATCAACTAAGGAGCTCTGGTGGTATAGTGGGTAAAGGCATTTGGCTGCTAACTAGGAGGTCAGTGGTCCAAACCCGCCAGTTGTTCCATGGGAGGAAGATGAGAAATCTACTTCTGTAAAGATTTACAGCCTTAGAAACCCAGCAGGGGTCACTATGAGTCAGAAATGACTCAATGGAAGTGGGTTTGGTATGCTTTTTGGTTTAGGATGTCAAATTGGGATGAAGAGATGAATAAAGTAGGCTGTAACTTTATAGTGTTAACATGGGAGAGATTAAGCACGAAAGAAAGCAAATCCATATTTAAGAAGTAGAGTACTCTGAAG